TGGAAATAACAAATGCCCAGCAATAGGGGAATGAATGAGTAAAATATGGTACAAAAACAATCAAAAATATACATTGTAATTAAAAGTGAAATTTTTATGACTCAGAAAATTCATAAAATACTTAAGATACAGTACTTTGTTAAGAGACAATTTAAAATATTTTTTAAATGACACATGATTGCAACTACAAATCCCTACTTCATAGATCAAAAAGACAGTAACAGTTTGGGCCCCCCAGCATCCAGGCCCCCCATGAAAGGGGTGCTCACTTCTGCTCTTCCTGGTCCTGAAGTGTGATATCCATCTGCTTCCCAAGCCTGCTTCTCTGTTTTCTCCTTTCCCCTCTCCAACCATGAGCTTTGCGTTTTCTATGTCTGGCCTTTTCTTGCACTTATTATTACTGTTACTAATATTAAACTTTTTGGCTGTAACCTTGGCTTCTCTGGATGAAGACTTGTTTCACAGCCCATACTACGCAGATATCCACAGCCTCAACTCCCCCAGTTCAGGCCATCATTTAGGAAGACTTTTTCTGTACCTGTCCCATCTCACCTGCCTCAGATCTTATGAGAAGAGTCCTAAAAATATATACAATTGAAACTTTGATGTACTAGGGTCTTAAGATCATGGGTTCAACATATACTATTAGTGTTTTTCATCTGTCCAAACTAAAGACTTAATCTTTTCCTTACCTTTGTCAAGATTGCCACCTGGTGGTGAATTTCTAGAACTTCATTGTTTTAGCTTCAAGTTAGCAAAAGTAAGGTTAAAAGATGCTACCTTTGATTTCACTAGCAGTTTTGCGTTAATAACATGAAGTATAGACCTTTAATCGCCCTGGTAGCCAAAGTCATATAACAGGGTTAGCGGATCCAGAAGTTATACAAGCCTTATAGACATTCCCTTACTTGCGTGGGACTCATGCCCTGATTTCCCCATAGGATTCCAGGTTTATTTTAATTACCTGATACTGGATCTGCTCTGAAAAGTAGTTCTTACTTAGACAGTGAGCGTTTGCATCTGCTGCTGAATCTTGGTGACTCCAAACGTTGTATAGTGTCTTGTAAACTTTCACCAGTGTGTTAGTTCCCTCAGGTTGCCTTAACAAAGTACTACAAACTAGGTGGCTTATTAAATAACAGCAGTTTATTCCCTCAGTGTTCAGGAGACTAAAAGTCTCAGATAAGTATCAGCAGGTCCGGTTCCTTCTGAGGGCTGTGAATAAGACTGTTCTATACCCCTCAACCCCACTATCATCGGGTGATTGCCTGGAAATCTCTGCCTTCCTTGGCTGGCAGGAGCATTACCTTAGTCTGTGCCTTCATCGTCACACAGAGTCTATGTCTATGTCCAGATGTCACCTTTTTGTAAGACCACCAGTCATACTGGATTAGGGTTCACGCTAATGACCTCATCTTAACTAATTACATCTGCAGTAACCCTATATCCACATAAGATTACATCCAGAGGAATTGGGAGTTAGGACTTCAACATATGAAACTAAGGGGGGACATGGTGCAACCCATAACAACCATGTATCTCATTATACCGCCAGACTTCATTTCTGCCATGTTGTTTTTCACAATTATTTGCTGCTCTTCCCTGCTGGAAAGTTACATTTCCTTGCCGCACTGATGTGAAGCTTAGCCGTGAAATTGCTCTACCCAATAAAATATGAAAAGAAGCGATGTGTGCACATCCCAACAGAATCTTTTAAGAGCCTCTTCCTTCTGCCATGAAACAGGCAGTGTTCCAGGTGGAGGCTGTTTCATCAGCCTATGTCTCAGAATGACAGTGACACAGACCAGGGCAGCAGCTGAACCTCAGTGGATATGTAGTATAAGCAAGAAAACCTTTATGATTTTAGGCCACCAAGACTTTGGGGTCATTTATCACTGAAACATAAATTAACTTTAGCTGACTGACACAGCTAACTGACACTATAACTTCACCCTGTAATGTGAGTGAGGTTTTTTAAAAAAATTCATTCATCAGATAATTATTAAAAACTTGCTATGTGCTAGGCATATAACTATATGTTGGCCACTGTGATGGTGTCGCCTTGGCTATGCCATGGTACCCAGATATTTGCCAAACATCAGTCTAGGTATTGCTGTGAAGGGGTATTTTAGATGAGATTAACGTTTAAATCAGTAGACTTTCAGTAAAGCCAATTACCATCCATAATATGGGTGAGCCTCATTCAGTGGAAGACCTTAAGAGGAAAAGACTGAGGTCCTCAAGGAAGAGGGAGTTCTTCTGACTCCAGTTACAGCATCAGTTCTTCCCTGAGTCTCCAACTTGCTCTGCAGATTTCAGATTTGCCAGCCCTCACAAACACATAAGCAAATTCCTTAAAATAAATGTATGTATAGCTCACATTTATTTCAATGTTTCATATTAGAAGTGTTTCAGTCTTTATTTAGAAGTATAGCAATGTTTTTGTGACCAGAAATATGCTGTAGAAACTGAACTCTTATTTATCTCAATTAGCCTATGGTAAAATTGGTCATGCTGTGTATCATTTTGCTTAAAGTTGCAGTTTCCAAGAACCTATATGACACTTTTAAGTGATGACTTGCTGTACTGCATTTAATGGAAGCACATAGGAGAAGCACCTGACCCTGACTCGTGGAACCAAAGAAGGCTTTCAGGAGAGAATGCAGTCAAATTTGAGAACTGCACGTGGCAGGTGGAATACGAGTTAGCCAAGTGCAAGGAAGGGTGGTGGGGACCAGGAATTGGACTGAGTAGAGAACATACATTCTCAACAAGGGCATGACCTACCCCAGGAGAAGAAAATGGATGCTTGGCAGACAAGATAAATCTTAGCTATCACACCGTTTTGTCACCATCCAAAGCTCAATCCTACCTGACAAAATTGCATTCCTCTTAATATTTAATTGAGGGGAGGGAAGATGACTAGGAAAAAAATTCTAAGAAAGTCTCCTTAGGTGGGCAATGATTAAAGAAAAAAAAAAAAAAACATTGAGAAACGTTGGTATAGAAAGAGCATTTGGGCATAGCAAAGATCACACATGAAACTACTGAAATGAGAGAGAACATGGACTATTTGAAAAATTAGAATGGGTGTGGCATAGAATTGGGAGGGAAGAGGAAGCAGGAGGAACAATGAGAGAAGAGGCCGGTCTAGAAACAAATTTTAAAGAAAATTAAACCTGAAAGTGCATTTCAACCTCAATTACCTAAATAATTTTAAATAAAGTTGGACTTTGCATCTAAATTATCTACAGCACATCATCCTCACTTTTTTATGTATAAATCATCCTCTGTGTTTGTGGTCTCTACTGAATGAATTAAGCTTTAAACATTGTTTTAGAGACAGAAAAGAGCATTTGTTAAGATATATGTTTCTATCTATCATGCTAGAACTTGGTAGTTGTACAACTGTTGTCTCTGGAATGGCATCAGGTTCAAGTGGGTAATTATAATGCTATTCGAGCAAGCGTTTTAACTTCTAGAGAATTTTCATGTGATTTACTTCACTGGAGTTTCAAAGACTAAAAATATGAGACTAAAAAAGGTATTTTTCTTGGTCCCATTATTTAGAATAGAAAGAGAACAATGGTCTATTTAATAACCATGATCGTTATCTTCTTCCCAGATTGAATTAAAATTACATTAATATTCTATTAGAAAATTCTTTGCAAAAATGCTGTCAATCATTTTTTTATTTCTACCAGCTTGTTAACAATGAACTCAAAGCTAATTCAATACTTTTGAGAGATAGTATAAAACTCAATTTTAGAATCTAAAGAACTAAAAAATTGTATGCTATGTGATAATTTTAATTCCTATTTTTCTACCACAACCTTAGCTTGCTTGGTATAAGTAAGCTTATCCTAAATTTATAATATACTTTTAAGAGGCAGCATTCTAGTAATAATTTTAGAAGGTCTTATTATATAAAAGACAGTATAAAATTATATAATAGTTCTGAGTATGGATTCTGGAGTCAGACTGTCTGGGTTCAGATCCTGAGTTGAACTTTCTTGGGTTTAAATATTACTGGCTTTCATAAACTTGAGCAGATGTGAAAAGCTGTGTGATGTTAACCTCTCTGTACCTCTGTACCTCATAGTTTGAACTATGTAATACAACTACTACATATTTTTTAAATATATGTTAATAATGAGGTAATTATGTAAAGCACTTAGAACAGTACCTAGTACATACTCAGTACTCAATAATGTTAGCAATAATTACGGAACCCCTTAGTGAGCAGCTTTAAAACCATTTGTTGAGTCTTTCCTATATGTCATACAAGGAACTTACTTGTGAAACTCTTAGTACATCTTACCTAAAATGATCTTCAGAGCATGGCTGAAGATATTTTTTTGAACTGACTTTTAAAATATTATTATTGTTCTCTTTACTACATTACAAGCCTTCAAACTGATTAGCTTTCTAGGGTAGGATGATACTTTTTGTCCTTAGGTGAGAAGATGAACATCTAAATTTCATTTTTAAAAAAGCATTCCTTCCAGCCAAGCATGGTAGCTCACACCTGTAATCCCAAACTTTGAGAGGCCAAGGTAGGAGGATCACTTGAGGCCAGGAATTTGAGGCCAACCTGGGCAACACCACAAGACCCTGTCTCTATAAAAAATACAAACAAACAACAACAAAAACAAAATAGTTTGACACAGTGGGATATGCCTATAGTCCCAGCTACTCAGGAGACTGAGACAGGAGGATTGCTTGAGCCTGGGCAGTTGAAGTTGCAGTGAGCCAGGATCACACCACTGCATTCCAACCTGGGCAACCATGTCTGAGAAAAAAAAAAAAAAGGCATTCCTTCAGTAGTAGGTGGGAGATGAATTCCTCTTCAGAATTTTGTGTTGGAATCTAAGATTTATCTTTATGGAACTACTATTTACATGGGAACAGTAGGGGAAAGGAAGAAAAGTGACCCATGATTTACTGGCATTTTAAAATTTTGACCAAGGCAATTCCTTTTCAATATTTATGTATTTCAGAAAATGTCATTGAAATTCACAAATGCAAAACGGATTGAAGGACTTGATGGTAATATGTGGTGAGTATCTTAAAATAAATAATAATAATTTAGTGAGGTTTTCCTACATATTTGCACATCTTTAGGTGGGAGTTTTTTTGCCCCATCTATAAATAAAGGTCCTCATTTAATTCATCCATTAAATGAAAATGGAAGGAAGTTAGCAATCCATATACTGAATTGTTCATTTGGCACATGTGCCATGCCCTGTGCTGGACACTGGACATACGGCATAGAAAAGGACAATGCTAATGCCCTCATGGAACTTACCTTCCAATCCAGGAACTTTTCTTATTAGTTCTGTTCTCTAATAGTTGATGAAAGAACTTAGCAGCAGCTGGAATTGTTGAGAAAATATATATATATGGTTAAAATATGGGTAGCGTGAAACTGAGGTTTGTAAGGGACATTGGATTCATAAATTCAGCCATCATTCTATTTGGTAAACTGATTTTGTGGGTGGTAAATTTTTGTTGGAAACTCATTTTTTAAAACCTATAGGACTAAACTAGGGTCTTATTTGTCAGTTTTGTGATAAGACTATAAAATGTAAAAGAGCAAACTTTATAATTGTAGAACTTATTAATGTTAGTATTTTTTTCAATCTTAGGATTGAATTTACCAAATTGGCTGCAGACCCTTCTGTTGTGAATCTTGGCCAAGGCTTTCCAGATATATCCCCTCCTACATATGTAAAAGAAGAATTATCAAAGATTTCAGCAATCGATAGCCTGAATCAGTATACACGAGGCTTTGTAAGTATATCAAGACCATATGGGGCGTGAGCTTTTATTTTATATTAGGGTGTGTGTGTGTGTGTGTGTGTGTGCGCGCGCGCGTGTGCACTTCTGTCATTCATATGTAAGTGACTTTCTGGGACCAGCTGTCCCATCCTAGCAACACAGAAACTTCTGCCCTTGCCCTATGTCCTGGGATGAGCCTTCCTCTACTTCCAGCCCTTCTACACTTTTCTTTTGGCCCTTACTTTACAGTTGCTCCAAGATAGGATCCTATGGCAACAAGATAAGGAACAATATTCTCTTGAGATATGTCTTTTCTATCTCATCAACATTTATGCAGCCTCAGCACTGACCCTTTATTTAATATACTCTATACCCAACTAGTTACCTTTTTCCTCCCTGTCCCAGCTCACTCCCATCCTTCTGTAATGAAATGCCTAGGATAGCCAAAGATTTTCTAAATCAGATGTACCTTTGAACTGTAGACTTATATCTGTTGTGCCAAGAGCCATGCAGTTATCATATGTCTGACCACTTGTCTTTTCCTTTCATGATATTGTGGGAAATGGGGAGGGGAATGGTATAGGAGGAAGCCTTTTTGGCTTTTATAGTGGTCTAACTATAAAAATCTATAGAAGGATTTTGCTTTGGGAATAGCACAGGGAAAAGCAGTGAAACTTACCTGTGTCACAGGGTTTGACACTGGTGAGAATCCTTGCTCTTCATAGACTCTCAATCCCTGGCCCACCCTACAGACCTCCATCTCAGACCTACTCAACATAACTCACTCCCCAGTCTATACAAATCCATAATGAAAGGCTAGAAATAAACCAACAATAGAGAAAATTAATGAAACCAAAAGCTGGTTCTTTGAAAAGAACAGTAAGTAAAAGTTTTACCTAGATTGACCAATAAAAAAGAGAAAACTCAAACTACCATATGAAGAATGAAAGAAGGAATATAATTACTGATCATGCAGACATGAAAGCAATAATAGGATAATATTAGGTATAATTTTATGTTAATACATTGACAACTTGGATGAAATGAACAGGTTATTTAAAAGATACAGGAGGGGTGCAAGCAAGATGGCCAAATAGGAACAGCTCCAGCCTCCAGCTCCCAGCGCCAGCGACACAGAAGACGGGCGATTTCTGCATTTTCAACTGAGGTACCGGGTTCGTCTCACTGGGGAGTGCCAGATAATTGGTGCTGGTCAGCTTGTGCAGCCCGACCAGCGAGAGCTGAAGCAGGGCAAGGCATCACCTCACCTGGGAAGCGCAAGGCGGAAGGGAATCCCTTTAGAAACTGAGACACACAACACCTGGAAAATTGGGTAACTCCCACCCTAATACTGCACTTTACCAAGGGTCTTAGCAAATAGCACACCAGGAGATTATATCCCACACTTGGCCAGGAGGGTCCCATGCCCACGGAGCCTCTCTCACTGCTAGCACAGCAGTCTGAGATCTAACTGCAAGGCAGCAGCGAGGCTGAGGGAGGGGTGCCCGCCATTGCTGAGACTTAAGTAGGTAAACAAAGCCTCCGGGAAGCTCGAACTGGGTGGAGCCCACCGCAGCTCAAGGAGGCCTGCCTGTCTCTGTAGACTCCACCTCTGGGGACAGGGCATAGCAGGAAAAAAAAAAAAGGCAGCAGAAACCTCTGCAGATGTTAATAACCCTGTCTGACAGCTTTGAAGAGAGCAGTGGATCTCCCAGCATGGAGGCTGAGATCTGAGAACAGTCTGCCTGCCCAAGTGGGTCCCTGACCCCTGAGTAGCCTAACTGGGGGACATCCCCCACTAGGTGCAGACTGACACCTCACACAGCGGGGTACACCCCTGAGACGAAGCTTCCAGAGCAAGAATCAGACAGCAACACTCGCTGTACAGCAGTATTCTATCTTCTGCAGCCTCCGCTACTGATAACCAGGCAAACAGAGTCTGGAGTGGACCTCAAGCAATCTCCAACAGACCTAGAGCTGAGGGTCCTGACTGTTAGAAGGAAAACTAACAAACAGAAAGGACACCCACACCAAAACCCCATCAGTACGTCACCAGCATCAAAGAAAGACCAAAGGCAGATAAAACCACAAAGATGGGGAAAAACCAGGGCAGAAAAGCTGGAAATTCAAAAAATTCAAAAAATCAGAGCACATCTGCCCCTCCAAAGGAACGCTACTCATCGCTAGCAACAGATCAAAGCTGGATGGAGAATGACTTTGACGAGTTGAGAGAAGAAGGCTTCAGTCCATCAAACTTCTCAGAGCTAAAGGAGGAACTACATACCCAGTGCAAAGAAACTAAAAATCTTGAAAAAAGAATGGAAGAATGGATAACTTGAATAGTCAATGCAGAGAAGGCCGTAAATGAACTGACAGAGATAAAAACCATGACACGAGAAATACGTGACAAATGCACAAGCTTCAGTAACCAACTCGATCAACTGGAAGAAAGAGTATCAATGATTAAAGATCAAATGAATCAAATGAAGCGAGAAGAGAAGTCTAGAGAAAAAAAAGGAAAAAGAAATCAGCAAAGCATCCAAGAAATATGGGATTATGTGAAAAGACCAAATCTACGTCTGATTGGTGTGCCTGAAAGTGATGGGGAAAATGGAACCAAGTGCAAAACACTCTGCAGGATATCATCCAAGAGAACTTCCCCAACCTAGTAAGGCAGGACAACATTCAAATTCAGGAAATACAAAGAAC